TAATGGAAGCAGCTTCTTATTCTTTGGTTTGAAACCAAATTGTTTTGTTACATTTATGGTGTCATACAGAATACTAAGATCAGTTGGACTCAGATTCCCAGAGATATGGAAGTTGTTCAGCAAGTCACGCATTTTAGTAGCATTACGCAGTTCATTAGCATTAGTCACATAATCTCTGTACAATACTTTCAGCATACTGATACACCTATTTCCATCAAACCATTCTGATATATCCTGCAACAGCCTACGGTATTCATCATCAGAGATTTCTGGAAGTAATGTAGTAATAAATACTATGTTAATACTTCACTATAGTGGATTCAAGGCAGGGATATAGTCCGATTCTAAATCTGAATGAGGGCATTCTTTATCCAGTTGTTAGACAATTGATAAAACATAGTAAAATGCATAATTATATCATGATTTGTGGGAGATGGGTTATTTTCTGTGACATTCTTGCTTGCTCATGCAAGGTCTTCCCATGCTGTTCCATCGTCCTTTATCACAAAACCCGACTTATCCACGAAAACTCGGGAAATCAAACCAGGGTCTCCTATCACAGCTAATTATACTCCAATTATCAGGAAGGCTAGACCGCGGTACATGAAGGGCTATCGCGGTTGGAAAAGTCATTATCTCAGAGGGGTGCTGCCATAGCAATAACAATCAATTCATACTGAGTTTACTATAAAAAGAAAAAAAAATCTATTTTGTTGAAAATCGTATGAAATATGTTAACATTTGTCTTTAGCAGAAAAAAACTATCCTACCTACGAGTTCGAATCGTAAAAAACGAGCCCTTTTATGAGAAGTTACAAAAGTACAGGGCTATTACTGGGCCTAGCCTAGGCCGACTTGGTATAGGCATCGTCGTACAATCGACGACGTGACATGAAGTTTCTGAAAAAGGCGGATGAATATATTGGTTTGAACGTGATTCACTTTGAATCCATTTATTAGTAATATTTTTATTGATGAAAATTAGTGTGTAAAATATTTAGAAACTACTTTAAATGTACAAATCGTGTAATATATAATTGTTTGTTGTAAATAAAAATAATACAACGGTAATTGGGAACTATTTTGCCAGCGTAATGACAGAAAACCATCAGCAGTAAATAATAAAAGAGCGCTTGGTTTGATCGTGTCATACGTTGTAAATTAGTAAACAGTAGTTGACAGTACTGAGAGATGACCTTAAATTCTCAGAGGTCGGCAGCCTCAGCAATTTTTTACTACCTAGGCCTATAGTATTAACTACGATTTTTCCGAACACTCGAACTAACATATCCATGCATGTCCATGCGCATGCCCAGAATGATCAAACAGGGATTTCCCACATGTACTTGTTAGTAGTGAAGTCACGACTCACGATATGATCATGATTGCGTTTAAACTGACGGTAGCATTAGGCCTACAATTATGTTGTTTTTAGATAATGAACAACATTTTAAATATGACAATAATACTGTAAAATGAAGACAAATAATAGATTTAGTCAAGCATCTACGCG